CGCTTCGAGATCTACTGATTGCAACAGGTCACATTTGAACTTGATATTACGCGTAATAGATTGCTGATATTGATGTTGTTGTTATTCAGGTTTATGTTGCGTTTTCAGAACGCAAACGCAATGTGAACATGAATCCTTGAACTTTAATGCTTTCATGAAGCAATGCTTGACTGAAGCTTGTGAGAATTGCGCTTGAAATTGCCATAAAAGCAACTGCAGGAGTTGTGCGATGGGTGCTAATTGGATACTGTTGTTGTTGTGTGCATCACTGGTGTTTTTTGTTTACTTGTTGATTCGTTCAACTGACTTCATTCGCTGCGTTTTGCGTCGTTTCGGATGGACTCGTCTGGAGGAGCACGAAGAAACGTGCAGCAACACTCACGAAGAAGCCGACGAGCAAACCACCTTAAGGAATGGCACCAATTTGAACGATGGTGTCGCCAAAAAACATTCATTCGGTTCATATCAACACGAAAATGGTGAAGACGATCAGCCTATGTCTCAAACGCAAGTTCATGATCAACAACGCAATTCGGTGCCGTCAAGTTCATCGGCTTATCAGCTCTCACCAGGCAAATGCTCACCCGCATCCATGGGTACATTGGACACTCCTGCCGGTGCTACTGATATCGTCGTTGATACTTATCAGTTTATGAACACGCCAAATGCAAGCGTTCATCCGAGTCTAAGTGACGATCGCGAACGAGATGATGATGCTGTGCCAACGATGTACGGTGGTGATAGGCACCAGATGGAAGCAATATCACCGAAGAGAACTGATTCAGATGTGCGTTTGCGACCGATATCGCCGTACGATAATGCATCGAAAAGTGCCCTATCATCTGAAGAGGAAGATATGGGTGAGTTAAATAACTGCTTTGAAGCAATCAATCTGACTAGAGAGCATCGCCAAAACTTTTCTGTTGATTTTTGCTCTTCGCAATTATTTTACTATGAGCATAAACAACGACAAGCGAGGATTACCCCCAAAAAAGATGTGGAAGCCTGTTTCATGCAGCACAGGGAGATGAAAGGATTCGAATTCTCGAGAAAGATTGCGAAGGTTCAAGTTTATTATCGTTATTAGACTTGTTTGCTTGTTTAGACAGGAATATGATCAGCAATTTACGACGAGCGATTTCTACGGAGAGCATAGGCAGTGCGTCTTCCACATCGATGCTGATGAATTACGGTGATGA